GTGTCCAACAGCAGTAATTGAGAGACAGGGGATGTGATGGGGGTTACATAGTTCACCCTGCTGAGTGTGCTTTGCCAGAGCTGGCCAGAGTAGCGTGTGTGTTTACGCATTTATGTTTCAGTTCTTTGATCCCAATGCTGATATAATGAGCTAAACTGCCTTAAATGTTTCCATGGGCACGTGTGTGATAGATATTAGTTGGAAACCAAACAGGTCAAAGAGATAAATGATCAAACTACTCTTGGATGTGTATGCTGATTAGGATTAAAAATGAAATTTAATTCATTTACATGTGTGACAGCATAGAGCTTGTCATGCTCACTTCCTTTAAAACAAAAAAAGTAATAATAAATTAGTTTAATTTGATTACATAACAGACAACTTTTCCTATGTCTGGTTTGCAAAACTGAATCCCACAGAAAACCTATGCAGTGAATTGAAGAGAGATGTTCTCACAATCCTATTGGTCTGGAGAAAGACGGGTGGACAAATGTTACCAGGCCAAGATGTAGATTGCAGATGGATCATTGGAGACAAGTATGACAGACTGAGAGTAAATTCAAAAGTTCGTGGTTGTGCACACTTTCACTGTTTGTTTTTTGACTGAATGGGAAAAGATACATTTATCAAAAATGTTAAACTATTCTAACAAGTTGCATTTTTTTACACCAAAACTACACTTTAGTGCATAAATGAGGACAATTGTTTAATTTCTTATTTTTTTGCTGGAATCAAAGATTCTAACTTTATTAATAAAAGCTGTCAAACATTTTTGCTTTGTTTTACCTCTTAGGAGAAAAAAAAAATGTAATCCGCAAACTGGAAATCATGGCGTGGAAAAGCCTGGCTGTTGCGTCGCTCGTCACTTCATTGAATAAATGTCAGCAGTTGCTGGTGGCTGTCATCATTTGTTTTCATATGTGCTTGCAGTGTTTTGTCTAAGGAGTACCAGGAGGTTCTGCACAGTGTCTCTGCAGTGGTGCAGCAGCATCAGAAGACTCTGGTGCCCGGTATGCCACAGCTCAACATGTGTGACCTCGCTGTGATGGTAAGTCTGTGCATCTCTCAGGTAAAGTTCATCCAGATATGACAACTAATCCTGAGGTATTCAGAGGCCATGTAGTTTTCACTGATTATATTGTTGACTCTAGTTACATTAAAGGCAATATTTCTTAATTTTCTATCTCACTTAAAATGAAGAATATTTATTATAAAATGAACGCTGCCAAGATCTTCGCTCTTTTTCATTTGTGCTCCAGCACTGCCACCTGGTGGCCAGTGAAGGGAAGCTTCTTAAACTTTTCTATTGGTCTTTTAAACTTAATCTCACATGCCAGTCACTTAGGATGAATATTAACAATAAAGTTCCTGTTATGCTGTAAACTGTTAATTGAGCTTAATTTGGAGATATTCTTTCAAATAAACATAAGTTATGTACAAAAATGTAAAAATTATTACATTTTAACTGAGATTTGACTGTACATAAGCATGTTTTTAGAGGTTTTCTATATTGTTTGATTTCTTTAAGCAACTAAATTGTAGATGAAAGTGTCAACATCTGTTATACTATTACAATATAAATCTGTTTCTACAGAAATGTGCACTATTGCATCTGTAAACAAGAAGCAGAAATGAAAGTAATTATGCTTTTTCCCATTTGTCATAGAAAAGTTAAAGTTTGTTGTTCATTCTTAGGGTACACATTAATGCACCGACACAAACTATGATGTCCTTAAAATCGTTATTGGACAGAACATCAGGCAAATTGCTAATAGCTTGCTCTTAATTGCTAAAATAACATGAATGGTTGCATATTGTTTTATAGGTTTGTTTCTGACTGTTTCCTTGTACAGAACTGGTCCCCTCCTGGCTGTGAAAAGTTGGGCAAGTGCCTGAAACCACCCACATCTGCGCCGTGGAAGTGTAACTGGCCACACTGAGACGCTCGGACAAGACGGAGTCAAGAAAACAAAACTTGAAGATGTGCCTTACAGCATATTATGAACAAGTATTTTTACTAAAGTATGTTTTTGAAATCTTTGCCAAATCATTCATATCCATTGTTATAAAAAATGATGTGGGAACAAATCAAGGGAAATGTGGTGCTTCTTGAACTAAAACATTAATTGTGCTGAAAGGGATGATATATTTATGCTGATTGAGCCTAAAAAGGGATCAGTTGCCCTAAATTTTTTCAGTCTTCACATTTTGCACTAGAAAATCAATTTATTTTGGTATGAAGATGATGACTTTGTGGGAAGTTGTGGACTAATGCCTCAGACAGCTTTAGACAGAAGGTGTTTTTAATTTTCTCCTTTCATTGCCTGGTCCTTTCTGTCTTAGATAAACTTTTACATTATCAGGTAAAATCAGTAAATAAAAATGGGCAAAAGTATTCCTTTACTGATGCTGTTTCTGATAATAAAAACAAATGGCATAGTGGTGATTATGGCAGTACTTCAAAATGACATTGTCTTGGCATTATTGCATTGTTACTTTACCTGTATTTATTTTTTTAATTAAATATATACAAGTACTGTATTTTTATGTATATCCTGAAGTGAACAGCTCAAAACTTCAGAGCTTTAATAACTTGTACTTCATTTGAGCAAACAAATGAAGCATAGGTTAAAAACCATATTTTAAATCATCCATTCTTTTGTTCAAAATCAGACTTGCTTTCTTCTCTTCTGTTTATTCACATTCACTTTATTCTATGTGTCCTTTCCGGTTATTTCGGATTTTGTTTCATTTTTCTGTTTGTGTTATTTAAAAATACAAAATATTGTCCAACCTTTTTGTGCGACTCTCATCTGTTGGAAAAAGCGTTTCACAAAGATAATATTTGTAATAATTTGCTATGTTATTTTTGTGAGGCAGGTGATTGCACAGCATCCATTATATCATTCAAAGAATTCTCTAAAAACAAAACTAAAACAATAAATGATTGGGGCCTGCCATAGCAATGCATACGGAGAGCAGCACAGTATGTATGTATATATTTATATATATTATTTGTAAGTTGGGTTTAGTTTTTTCCAAAATTTGATTTCTAATAACAAATAAAATGTTTACATTAACAGAGGCGCCAAATTATGTGTTTCTGTAAATTACTGATCCAGTGGTCCTAACACTTTCTGCAAGCTGTCATGAATCACTATATAAAAAATAAAACTTATCTAAAGCATGTATAAACCGTTTTGGTAAAATTCACAATATTGCAGAAAAAAGTAGAAATTTTTAGAAATGTTGAACTCTTAAGATGTAATTTCCTCAAACTGATCTACAGTAAACAGGTCAAACATTTAAAAGTTAGCAGAAAATAGCGGCAAACATTGGAAGCAGGTTCAGTCATCCAAACCAAGATGATGTTTTGGTTGGATCGTTGGGAACAAAGTAGGAACCATAAAGCTAAAACCAGCTTCCCTTCACAGTGAGCATGTTGTCACTGTCAAGAAGGAAGCAGTTGTCAAACAATCACAAGAATAATGTTTCTAAAAGCAAAGCTAAAGTTTGCAGCTAACCACACGGGCTAGAAAAATACCCACATAGAGGAAAACTAGACAGACGAGAGTAATGGTGGATTAGCTATTGGATTTTTTGGACACAAGTATGTGTGGAAAAAGGCCACCATCTGCGCTATAGAGCTTCATATCAATGTGCTGCAGCAAATCCTTGAGCTGTTTTCCTGTCATTTAAACTGACTATACAAAGTAGATTGAATAATGAGCAGCAGGAACTTAAAATTACTCACCATGACCCTGATTGCCTGCCACTACAAATTGCCTGCAGTGTGTTGTTTTAACAGTGCCCTGTCCAAACAAAACTAATTGGATTGTGGATTAGGAAGTGGAAGGCCCCATAATCTAAAATATGTTTACTGTAAGAGTCTATTAAAAGAAAATAACTGTAAACTTCAGAACTGATGAAGCCTTTTGGAGGAGATGCCAAAATGATCGAGTACCTGAAGGACAGACTAAACTTTCATTTCGGATGAATTTCAGACGAATGACAATCAGCTTTCATTCAATTGATTTTGAAGCTAAAGTTTGCAGGTGGACCTTTAACTGAAGCTTAAGAATTCCTCAAAGTCTCTTCTAGGCATGTTAACACATGTTAATGGTGCCTGAACACCCATGCAGGGTTGCGAGGGCATGATGTCTCACTGGGTACCTGACCAACATTTGCCCTGCTGCATCACTAGATAAAACAGAGACAAGCGGGAGAAACAGCCTTACACATATGCACACTCATACCTACGGAAAAATTAAACAAAAATATAATGCCACGTATATTTCAGAACTTTGGGAGGAATATGGAGAGAACATGCAAACTTCATGCAGAAAGACCCCAGACAAGAATTTGAGCCAAGGACCTTCCTGCAGCAATACAACGCTGCCAACAATCGTTTTTACACCAGATAATTCCAAGTGCCAAAAGAAAAGTCACATTACAAGATAAACAATATAAAGGGAAACATAACTGGTACATAAAAACAACAAAAAAGTACAACAAATAGGTTCACGAGTTCTAATGAAATGTTACTTTTACTGAAAATCCACCAGTGAACAGTAAAGTTTTCATTCCAGTTTTAAATGAGCAACCAATGTCTTGACACTTCAGGTTTGCAAAATTTGTTCTCTGCTCCTCCAAGAGGAGTAAAGGCTTCAGTCACTGTATGAAAGTCTTCGAAGCATCTAGTGAACTACACATGCATGTAAACACATGCATGCGCCACTTTACTTCTGAAGTTTAACTCTGCGTTTTGGCACTTTTGCTCAGCAACTAGTTTCTTTTTTTTTTTTTTGTTAACTAATAATCTGGTAATAAAGTCTGCGGAGTCTGTTTTGCAGCAGAGCTGAGTAGTGCATATAATTAAAGGCTAATTTTACCTCATGAAAAAAAACACAAATAGTTTTTTTTTTGTTTTTACAGTCATTTCCTTTACCAGCTCAAAGTAGCGGTAAGTTGCATGTTACAGGAAGTAGACGGATCTGTCATGTTGCAAATGAAATAACGCCACCATGTCAGGGAACGACAACCGAAGCACGGTAGATGTAGATGCTGCTTTTCTCAAATCCAGGAGGGGAATAGTCAAAGTGGCAGAGACGGTGAGATATCTTTGTATCCCGTTGTAACATTTGGCATTTTGCTGCAGATGTGAAAAGGTTCAAATGTCCTTGTACGGAACTGTGCATATAAAAGGGAAGGAAGTGAAACAGCTTGTGAGGCACTTTGTTGGAAGCTTTTTAGAGACTAAGTTGGAAAAAATTGACACAAATATGTAAAAATGTTGGGTTTTTTAATTCTGAGTTGTTTGTCAGATTCCAGAAAGACGATCAATGAGTCCATATGCAGATCTCACATGCACCCTCTGGCGAAAGTTCAATGAAAGTTCTCATATATTAATTTCCTTTCCTATCTCAGGGAACCCTGCTTGTTGCATTTGTGTGTTTCGCTGTTGCCTCCACGCCAAAGTACCTTACGGCCACATTGTTGGAGTTTCTAATCACTCTACTTCTGCTGCTTTTGTACCTACTGAAACTCAACAAGAGGATCACATTCCTGTTTTGGCCTATTGTTGTGAGTGAAACCTTACCACACAGCATTGCACTTTGTGCATTTTGTAACATTTGTAGACACCACATAAAAAAAAGGATTAAAATTTTTAGGTTGGGTGCTAACCATCTGCTTTTTCTTTCACTCTTTAGGACGTTTTCAACTCAGTGTTTGCAGCGATCTACCTCCTTGTCTTGAGCCTGATGGCGTTGACTTCGAGCTCCTTCACGGGAACACTGGTTGGAGGGGTGAGAATTGCTTTTGTAAACACAGAATGAAGATTTAATACAAAACCACATTTAAAATAGATAACAGTGATGCTGTGGTGGCTTGTGAACCAGGAGTTTAATTGGAATTTGGCCCCAGAATAAAATCCCACCACAACCTTAGACTGGCTTTGACATTGGCTTGTTGATTTCAGACTTTCAATCTTTATCTTAAAGTGCACATCAGTCAACATTAGCACCATGTTCCCTCATGTGTTAATTTTCATTTGCTGTCCCCAGCAGCTTTGTGATAATAGATAAAATATTACATTATGTGTGGATATGTATTGCAACTCTTCTCATATCTGCTCTGTATTCACAGGTGGTGAGCTTAATTTCAGCTGGACTTCTATTTGTGGACAGCTGCATGCTTTTCAGAAACATCACATTCAACAAATCAAGAAATGAAACACAGAATCAAAGCCAAGGATAAAAACTACAAAGTCACTGAAACAGCATTAAAAGGAGGCTGCAAGCCTCATCAGCTCAAGAGCGTATCTGTATTGCATTTAGAGACAGTTATATATTTTTCAATGTTTCTGGCCCAATTTACTACATTATGTAACACCAATATGACTACATTTTTGTCATATTATTAAATGCAGAAAATATTTTGTTCAACATAAGTCTTAAATAAATACACGTACCACATAATTACTTAATATATCTGATCATCTTGGGGAAACCTGTCAGAAAATGTGTCATTTATTTTCTGTCCGATTAAATTGTGTTTTACTTTGAAATATGCTAAAAAAATTACTATTTTGAACAAGTTATGAATTTGTCAATGTGTTTCCTATAATCACATATTAATAAAGTAATGAAAGAAACCCTGAGAGTCCTAAGTGAAATGTGGCTAAATAAGGGAATCCAGAAGGAGCATTTCAATGCCGGAACCTATTTTTGACTGTGACTTTTGATTTTTAAAGAATATAAAACATTTCTTTTGAAAAATAGATGAGAACTTTCATATGATTTTCTCTACCAGGCGCATATTGGCTCCAATCTAAACTGAAGTCGCCCTATCAGTGACTTGTATACATTTATGTTTTGAAAGTTGTTTTTGGGGCCTCAACTGTATGAATGGATGTTTCCATCGTGACTCAACGGGCTCCATGTGTTTTTTGGGGGGACGTGTGTTCATGCAGCTGCAGCGGGCATCACGTTTCACATCTGGAGATCACAGATGTTTTTTTTTTTAGAGTTCTAGTTTGGTTTCCGCGCTGTCATTATTTCCGTTTCCACCTCCTTCCAGCCTCACGCCCCCAGCGGTTTTTTTTTTTTTTTGTCTTTAGCCTCGAACTCCTTCGTTGCAGTTTAAGTTGAAGCCTGCAGCAGTTTTGGGGAGGGAGTGCTCAATATTCCAACAATGGGGGACATCGAGGCGCCCGACTCGAGCCGGCCGCGCCAGTCCGTCCTGATGTCGGTTCTTCCCAGCAAAGAGTTCGCTACTTCAAGGAAAGGAATGCTGCTGATTGCTGAAGGGGTAAGGGACAAGAGGAGCGATCGTGCCCGCAAATGAAATCTGTGATCAACGCCGCTGTTTTATGTCTTGCGAATGCTCAAGTTTGCGCGTCTTGGGCTCTTATTGCGGCAGCAGTTTCTGGCAGCGAGAGGGAGGGGCTGGAGGGGAACTGTTTCCCCCACACGTTTGGGAACTAATCAAAAAGTTATTTCTACTTTCCTACACGCTGAAGTGAGTAAACTGATGGAGATTGCGAACTTATTTTTGGGGCTGAATCCGTCAGAGGTCTATTTTTCAACTGTTTTCCTCTGATGAATAACAGTCCATAGGAAGCATCTTGAAAGTGAGTTTCAGTAAAGCAGGAATTGGTAAGCAGTTTTGTTGGATGGGGGCGATGGGTGGGGTGGGGCAGGAAATGAACACAAACATTATTGAATTTTAGGCTCTTCTTGTGATAACTGCACGCTGTGCTGTAAGCATGTTTGTGTCATGTGACACTGTGCTCTGGTCAGGCTTTCTGGAGATCAGTCATCCTCCCCCTCAGTCACATCCTTCACATTTTGGCCTGGAGCACAGTCTGCAAAGCTCTGCAGCCCAAACTGCAAACACACACACACACACATTAGGCTACTGCTTCACAGAGAAGCTGTGAACTACATCTGTCTTCAAATAGATGTGTCTGCAGAGGAAGTCGAGCGAGTGATCAGTTGTGTTTCTGCTGCAGAGGAGTGAATACTTCAGGGGTTGCTGATGCTCTATGGTTCTTGCATTGTGGTGATCTTCAAAAAAATTAAGCGACTGTGCTAACAGCACACATTTAATCTTGAGTTGTTGCTGGAACCTTTCACAAAAAGTACATGTCTGTGGTTAGTGTTTGGAAAGAGCTAATCTAGTCATTTTCAGTTATAGGCAGTTTTTTTTTAATTTTTTTTAATTAAACACATATGTAATTTTAAATTGGAAAATAAAAGAATAAATCTTGCCTGGGCCTTGTCTGTACATCGTGGTTAGTGTTTCTCACTCGTTCGTGCTCTGGCTTCTTTTGTCATTGACTTGAAAGTGTTTCAAACAGAAGAAAACTGCGTTTCTCTGCCTCTCCATTCCTCATGTGTGACATTTACACAGACGACCAACCAGCCACAACATCTTTAGGCTGAACTGATCTATCTTGGACTGTTCAACGAGAACCGCTTTAGTTTTTCTTCTTTGAAATTGTGATTTCAACTACCCTGTTTGTGATACTTTTCCGAATGAATGTGTCTCTCCTGCAGGTTTGCTCTGGTTATGCCCAGATTCAAAATAGTTTAAGAAAAGCTAAAGGAGTTTTTATTTTCACTGCTCTGTTCTGTCAAGAAATGTGTTTTTCCATTTTAACTCTGTGCAATATGCTGGTATTGAACTTGGATTTCTAGAGCATCTTCTATGTTTTTTCACAAGTTTTTTTCACAAGTTTCATTCAGCCTTCTCTAAAAATCACACTGTGATGTTGTTTTAATGCCTCTGTATCTCCTGATGTATCTTGAGGCTACACAGAAAGAGCGGCCGGAGTGGAAGCAGATCTTAGGTCTGCTTTTCTCAACAGTATTAGACCGATAACCTGCAGAGCGTGCATTGTTAGACACGGTGTCACCAAGTGGACTGTTGTGTTTTTTCATCAGGTTTCTCAGATGTCCTGCTCTGCAGAATCAATTAATGTGCTTCTGATGTGTTTGTAAAAGAACATGTTTTGTTATGTCTGAGACTAATTTGAAACTGAAACAAATTATTTGAAGGAGAACCAAGCTGAGTTCTCAGTTCTGCTAAACATTTGTCCACTATAAACACTCTTCATAAGCATGATTGTTACATTAATTTCCAGTAATTATTATATATTAGAGCTGATACAAAAATAAAAGCAGGATAATCTATTTAAGTAGGACAATCATGAATCTGTACAGGTTATGCTGTACATACACACTCAGATACTAAAATACACCACAATTTGATAAAATGCCCTTTACTAAAATGGCACTTTGACCACAAACTTTGCCTGCCTCAAAAGGAAGTGTTGATGTGTGTGTGTGTGGGACAATTGTCTTGTCACAAGATCCAATTTTATGAAAGTTCAGAACCCAACAAATTTGACACATGTTTTTGCCTTTTTCGTTACAGTTGAACAAATAACAATAATATTCACTTGGCTGTATGTACATGAATGTAATATGTATTAATCTCTTGTTGTAACAATTTACTCATAAGTTTGAATTTGTAGCTCAACAGGAAACATGACTCGGCTTGTAATGAAGCGTGCAGTTAATTTTCCCTGCAAGCGTTTTCGACAGGAGCAACAGTTTTAGTTTATTTCCCACCCCCATCAGGTCGGAGCAAAAGCAGCTGCCCAAGACAAAGACAAGATGGCCGGGGACGTTTGAGATCACAGTGTCTGGTCTTGCTTTCATTAACTTGCTTCCCTCTGTCCATCTCCTCGAGTCGAAGCTTCAAAGCCAAGACAGGCTCAGTCTGCCTATAAAGTGATTAAGTCCTTATAAAGCGTCCTCTTTCATTATTCCAGTTTGGTGTTTGCACATGCGTGTTTGTGCTGCAGGGTGGGATTCAGGGTACAAAACTTTGAGTATAAACATTGACTTAAGCAGTTGTATCTCTCTACAGGATGTGAGTCTACAGCTGCAAGCTGTACCAAAAGTTGCAGCTTCCTCGGGCGGAGACGATTAAATCAGACAAAACCTCAATTTGGATGAAGGAATAATAATCTGTTAAACTTGTCTCTGATTTTAACAAGAAATTAAAAGAAGAAATACTGATTTTTGACTTGGGTGTTTCGCAAGCACTGAGATTTGTTTTCTCTTCGATGCAGGCACTTTCCTTCATATCCTTTGTGTGTTTTGCTGCATCAGCAGCAGCAGCCTTTGTGACAGTCCCCCTGCTGGCGTTCCTGGCTTCTATTTTCTTCTTGTTTGCCTACTCTACCAAATTCAATGAGAGGTTTAAGGGCTTCTGCTTTCCTCTGATGGTGAGAGAAGTTCATTCTGTCAATGTAGCGGACATTTGTTTGTGTTTTCGATTGTTTTATTATGTTTCTCTCTCTCTCTGAAGGACTTCATTAGGTGTGTGACATCCTCCATTATCTTTTTCATCATCTCCATAATGGCAGTGTCCAAATATACAGATGGTTCCTCTAAAGCTGCGGGGGTAAGGTCTACCATTAAACCAGCACAGAATAGTCAATGCTGTAACGTAGGGATCACTTCATACCAAACAGTGAAAGATTATCCAGGATGAAGAAGGTCTCTGCAGGCTTTGGACAGGATCTCTGGAGAGCATCAAGAAGATAACACGTGGGAAAGTTCTCAGACTACTGCGCAACATTTCTGTGGTCAAATTGGGTTTGGCTTTTACCATTGTGGCAGGAAGTTGAGATGCTTCTTGGCTGAGCCTCGTAGTGGCAGGTGGCAAAAAATAGATAGACATATATGTGCAGAATCACGTGCTTTCACAGTAAATTTACACAAACCTGAAGACCACAAAGTGATCCGATCTGGTGAAAGGGGGCCTTGCAAACAGACTTCCAGCTTTCCCAGTTTGTAACAACATCTAATGTTTTTCCATTGCAGATCTTTGGGTTTATCGCCACTGTTGTTTTCGCTTTGGACTTTTATGTCATTTTCAATGAGCTTGCTGGATTTCTAAAGCAAGGAGGAGAGTCCAGTGAGGAGCCTGCTGGACAGAGAGGTAACAACACAAAGCAGTGGCAAACGAAGCAATGAAATGATGTGGCATTGGTAGTAGCAAAATAAATGTTGTATTGGAAAACAATACAAAATATTCCATTTACTGTACAGCGTTCAAGTAGATAGACATGTAACACAGCTAAAGTTCTAAGATACAAGCTATAGCTGAAAGCAATGTCTTCTGATTACTAAAAGATTTTTACTGAACAATTCCAAATAAGTTCTTGTTCTTGAAGTACGTGACTGGATAAGAGTATTACAACAGACCTGGACTTTATATGTCCCCCTAATACAGTTTCATTGGTTTCTTTACTATATTAATTACCTTAGCTATTCATAGCTGACTTGCAAATTTACACCACTGTGCAAATTTATAAAATGTTGTCTTATGTATGGTTTTACTCTCTGCTGGACCAATAGAAATTGGTGTCCACTTTACCCTTGAAACTACCTTTGAATAGCTACTGTAAAAAATGTTCTGATCAGCTTTGGAAGAGACACATTAAATACTTAAATTTACAATTGAGAAATATTTCATATGAAGTAGGATGTATTGCACCATTTCTTTCCTTAGCTGACCTCACAGAAAGCTAATGCAGACTTACCTGACTGTTTTGTTGTTTTTGCTTTTCAGATGACTTTTCAGATTCAGACTCAGATTGAAGCTCATAAGGAGATGTGTTCGATACAAGGAAGTGACCACTGCACTGAGAAGGCACTCAGAAGGCCTGCAGGAATTTCATCACTTCACAATGTTTCATTGGTACATGAAAAGCATAAATCCTGACAAGATTGTAGGAGCTTCAGTAACATGCTTTAGTTTACCTGAAGTTGTGGGTCTGGTTGTGGGTTTCTTTGTAACGCATTTCTCACAGTGCTGCAAACTGGTGTTGCATTTCTACACTTACTAACTCTGCATTTGGTTTAGAAAATAATCCGAGTAGTGACATGTTCTGTTTTATTCCCAAACCTGTACTTTGCTACTAATCCTTGCTTTCTTCAGAGAAGCATTCGATTCATTCACACCAAGCAGTGCCTTATAAAGCTGTAAAATGGTGCTTTTAATGAGTTTCTGAAACAATTTCTACGGTTAAAATGCAAGAAGGATACATCACAAACATTAATTTTTGGGAAATTTTTGCTTTGAGAAGTGTGCAAAAGTTCTGAGCCAATCCTGATTTTTCTTTATGTTTTGCTTTGCACAGTGGATACTTTACAGCAATTTTGTAAACCTGGTTCATACCTTTGCAGTAAAATCTAAAAGAAAAAAAATATAGTTACAAGGTAAACAATAAAACCCGTTATGTTTGGTTGGCTGGTTACAACTATTATATTGTGTGTGTGCAGTAGGTTTTTTTTCTATTATTTGAGTTCAAAATGAGCCTGTGTTTTGTCATGTCAATATTTGTTTGCATGTTTCTAAGTTGATACTTTTTGATGTAATCAGAAGAAAACATGCTCCTAGGAATGATGTCCTATAAAAAAATATTCACCCATACCCTTTGAATTGCTTTTCATTGATTCTTGAGAAGTAGGACAAAGTGGGTTTAAATTTTCCCATTTTTTTTATTTTTATTTTTTTTATTATTCCTCAAGCTATGTGTACAAATATGACAAATAATGTTTTGGAAATGTAAAGATGTCCAAGGTGCAGGCTCCCAGTTCCAAATTTCTTTTTGTAAATTAAATTTTTAATGGACCTGACCCAGAATTTTGTCATCCATCGCCATCTGACAAAAATACTATAGAAAAATAGTTTTAATGACCCTATTAGTGATATTTTTACTCAGTTTTACAGATAAATGCTTCTCAAAAAAACAAAAGAAATATTATGTGAGACAAAAAACAACATAAAGTCCAACTGAAGGAGTTGGCAGAACTGAAGGTGATGACAAACTAGTGAGTAAAAAGAAATTTATGTAATTTATGTAAAATACATTAAAAGGAATTAACTGCACATTTACGTGAGATCTGTCAACACTGTCCCCGAAAGAGTCTCACTGTCAGTTGAAACCTCTGACGGAGTTGACAAAATGCCAAACTACCTCAATGTATGTGATGTTATACTGGAGGAGGCCATCAGGTCCATGAAATATTTACAGCATCCTAAAATTAAGCATTTATTTCACAAAATTTCATCAAAGTTTTGTAAATTGTCAGTTATGGTGTTGACGCAAAAATGGTTGTGACAAAGAACTTAAGAATAAAACTGAAGAAAAAACTAAAGAATAACATAAACTGACCAGTGCTGCTTTGCCCTCTGAGCAAAGGAAGAGAAAGGAAGAGGTCATGGGGTCCTCAGGAGTTCTGATGCCCCCCAATAATGCCTGATTTCTTTTTTTTTTTTTTACAATCTTTTTATGTCTGACAGTGTTGACAAAAACTTGAGACAAATTTTAGTGGAGTTGGAAAACATAAAAATGATTTTTAATTCAATTTATTGATACTTTTATAATTATTTATTTGAATACTTATTCTTGATTGTCATAAAATATAATCTTAGTATTCTTTTAATTGTTTTCAACGATTGAGTTCTGCTCCAGGACAAGGGATTTTACAGACCCCATCCATCTACTACAATATTTAAAATAAAAAAACATTCAGCAAACACCAGGAAAACATACATTGATAGTTTAGTCAGATATTTGATAAAAAATGAACTTTTTCAAATTTTGGTCTTTATCTATAGGACCTGTTTTGTCCCTCTTCTCAAGAATCACTGTTTTGCAAATCAAACATGATAAAAAAATGTTTGATTTTCAAAAGAAAGACATACAAAAAAACAAAACAATTTAATGTCAAATTGAAAACTAATTCTTACAAAAGAATTAATATAATAAATATATGTAGGATAAAACAAGTGGTTCCATAAATATTTACTCCCTTTAACATGACTGACCTAATTCAACAGATGGGAGCGACTCTGCCAACAACAGTTGCTGCCCGGGTTCTTCGTCAGTCAGAGTTTTGAGGGAGAGTGGCAATGAGAAAACCACTTTGGAAGAAAAAGCCCATCAAGGCTCAACTAGACTCCATAATCAAGTGGAAGAACGTGCTTTGGTCTTTTTGGTCATCAGACAAGATTTAAGGTGGTGAATAATCATGACATTTTTTAATCTAATCATCATTATTTTGTATAAGTAAATTTTCAATTTGACATTAACGGCCTTAATTGTAACGAGATGTTGCCAAAGAGCAACATTTTGTTGATCATGAGTGATTTGTGAAAGCACTAGAAATGGTGAAGCATCCAATACTTTTCATGGGTACATGCACATGTATGTACATACACACAACAGATCAGCTGACCCAGTTGCAGCTGACCTGGTACTTCTGCCTTTGGACCCTGAAAGGCAGAAGTTGCAGATAAGCTGAAATATCACCCAGGTGAGTAATGGAGTTTGTTAGACGTGTTCTGTTTCTCGTACTCACGTTGTTAAAATATCTGTGTGTCTGATTTTAAAGTCTGTCGAGCCACCATTGAGAAAACAGTGAGATACACTAGAGTGTCTTAGTGACTGTTTTGTGTGATATAAACTGCACTACAACCTTGTCCCAGCCCTGATGATGTGCTGATTTTGTTTGTTTGTTTTTTATACTGATTTATGCTTGAAAGCTATTGGAAGATTTCTACCAAACTTTCTTTTAACAGCAGTTTTCTTTTTCATGACAAGATCATAGATGTTAAAAGCTTTTAATGAGTTTCAATTGATTTCTGTACTCTTAAGATGTGAGAAAATGACTTTTTCAGTAATAGCATTGTTTTTATTGCTTTCACAAACTGTTGAATATCAAATCTTTTGTCTGTAATGTTATCGTTTTTAGGCAAACTCTTCTGAATAAAAGGTTCTCTTTCAGTATTTGCCGCTTTATTTGAATCACCAATGGAAAGGGATGCTTCCAACACTTTCAACACAAATATCCAACCTGTACATGAATGGCCCAGGCATGAGCCTTTACCAGAACCACACCAAATGAAAACAATAAAAAAGAAGTGCAAAAGAATCCAGAAACAATCAGAAATCTTTTTTGTTTTGTCCTCCAGATTCTTAATAACATACTCTCACTGAAAGAGAGGATGAGCTGTAATCAGTCTGTCTTTAATAAACAAATAGATGGGCCACGTCATAACTAAAAAGCATAACTCACTAGTTTAACTTTGTCGCTGTAAATGAGCTTGTGGCGTTACTAGAATGTAAATTTACTAATGAAGATTACAAACATAAATAGTAACATGATTGTCTTTGATGCAAGTACTTCAGTCACAAAACTAAGCCAATAGTAAATAATTATGTTAATAAACCATTAAAATATCATCAAACATTCATAATGCCATTTCTGCTTTTACGTTAAACTAATTTCGAACAGTCACACACCATCCTTGTCCTTCTTTTGGATGCTGGACAAATCATCAGCATGTCACAGATTTGCGTCCCTCAGGTCGCCTGTATTTAGTTGTCTTGGAGTCGTACAAAGGAGATGCAAGTTCAGATGCAAACCAGGAGGTGGAGCCATTGAGTCACTTTGGAAACTAAACCTTACAGAAGCGTAGTCTTCATTAAAAAAAAAAAAAATGGTTCCTTCATCCTCAAAAGCAGAGATGATGCTACTTTTCCAGACACATCTTCATTATCACCACAGAAACACTGGCCAGAACAAAAAAAAACAACAAAAAAACAACATTAAAGGAATGTTAACTCTATTTTGTGCTCTGTATGCTTTTAACTTTCCAACAGACGCGACAAGGAGAGACACAGCATTCAGGTCGAGGCAACCTGTGATTGAATTCAGATGCTTTCTGAGTATCAGGAGGAAAAAACTGCGTCCGTACCTGAGATCCACCTTACAGCCCAAGGAGCCTGATGATCATCAGTCTCCTTGGATGGTTTCACTTTGTGGCCTGGATATGTCAAAATATCTTCACTGATAGATTTAATTTTAGAAAAACAAAAATGATAACTAAATATTTTGGACCAGAGGATGCTGTGAATACATGGGTTTAGAAAAAGATAATTATGATGCACTTTTATAGCAACACGCTAAAAAGTAAACTAATGTCAATTTCAAGCTAATCTTAGCTTGAAATCTAAGATTAGAAAAACATTTTTGGTTGTCTAAGCACAAAGTTAAAACAGATTCTCTTTCGGTTATTATTGAAGTTTTCAAGTCAAATGTCTCCAATCATTCATAAACTCTGACCTCACAGTGTTTTCAAGTTGAGAATACCCCCCACTGTGCTGTCACTGCGTGACTCCTGGCAGTAAAATGTTTTATCGATTTCAGGTTACAATTTTAAAAGGCGATTATAAAGTCTGCCAAAAGAAAACCAAAAAAAAAAAAAAAACAGTCATACTTCATCAGATATTATGTTTGACAACCAGTCTTTTCATAGGAAGAAGCAAAAAGCTGCAGGACGGAACAATAAAGGGATGACTGCAGGTGAAAGAGCTGCTTGTCCATGGAGCCCTGGTCCACAGACATATTGCCACCACTTATAACACACTGCCTTCAATCACAGTGAAAGACACTTGCGTGTCTTCCAAGACACGGAAGTGGTTCACGTCTTAAGTTCTGGTCCAGCTTTTCCTGTGAAACTGTTTGATTTGAGAAGGAATCTCAAACTTTATGATCTCTGGCATCTCTGGCTGTTAAATGATGCTTTATCAGGCATCAGAACCGCAGAGGTCCAAATCCCAACTATGCTCAACGGGCCAGAGTTGCGTCCGTCTCTGTCAGCTGCCGGTGCGTAGTTTATCCACGAGCTTTCACGCGAGCTCAGGCCGAGCCTCCATTTCTCCACGAGATGCCGTGCGCGCTCGCATGTACTCGCTGGTCTGAGCGGCGCCCTGACACCCATTGCCACGGCGCCACCTCCGCACCGCCAGGAAGGTGTTTAGGCCGAACACACCTGTCACCAGGAAGCCGAAGACCTGCATTGAAGAGGAAACAGGAAACAGGAGAACAATGCCTGAATCTGAATGGGAAACCAAATAACTACATGATTAAAGACGTCTAAATTGGCCTCTGCTGACCTTTCAACAAGCTAACACTGTAAAACCTGTAGCTAAGGTGATCTTTAGTCATTTACTGAGAATCTTTTGAGCTCAGAGCTCATGTTTCTGCAACACAGCTGCATATTCAAAAACTGAATGACCTTTACATTTTCACCTTCAGTGAGTGCAGCTTTACAGCTGAAGGTGTGTTCGTCCGAGAAACTTACTGCTGCTGCTTTCTCAGCTCCTGTGTCGTGGTTGATGCAGACCAGAAGAAGGGACGAGACAAAGAACAAAAAGGTGCTGGTAGCAGTGTTGACCAGGTCCTGAAGGAAGACACACAGATAGCAACATCTATTAGTACTGATCTAAAGGATTTCTTTCACAAATTTAGACACAAAACACCACCAGTAAATTAAAGCATTTACATTTTTCTTCTAAGGTCCAAGGTGCTTTTCTAATTTTTTTTTAACAAAGCCCTGTTTTCCTTCATAAAAGACAGAGCTCATGATAATAAATCCTAGATGAACAGACATTAAAGGTGAATTTTCACTGTCTGCTGGTTTATGTTGACCGCTCGCCCCCAAAATGAAATAACGTCGGTCATAAAGGAGTTAAATTTTAAGATGTTCGCATCAGTCCTTTGGTAACCATCACTCATGCAATGCATTTTAAAATTGTGTTTCTCTTATGCTTTTCATCACCAGTTCTCTTCTTTTCATTCCTGTTGGTTGTTTTAAAGATCGTTCATCCTTTACTGTCCGACATGATAAGTCTGAACTCTGGTTAGACACAGACGGTGCTGTTCTTCATTTATCAAACGTTCACTCTTCCAACCAAGCAAACTGCTTCCTGGTGTCTAACGACAGCCATGAAAACAAAAGGAGCAGGAGGCGAGAGCAGAACACAGCTAAAACATCAAGCCACCCTAACATCTCATCTTACATACACACCCTCTTTACACACATACGCCGCTCCCCACCCTTTTTTTATTTATTTTATGTTTTTTACATAAAAGGAAAATGAACAGACACACTCCTGTTTTGTGTCCTCCTCTGCTGTTTTCAACCAGGACAGGGTTAATAGTGAAACACTTGGGTTCCCGGATCTCGTGATAAGATGCATGATCGAAATCATTACAGACGTGGTCTCTCATGTGACACAACAAGGCTTAAACAATGGCAAGGTCCCATACAGTGACTGGACTCTGCTGTTCATGAGCGCAAAAACTCACAGCTCAGAAGGGGAAAAAAAAAAAAGGAAAACCAGTTTATGCTCCACTGATCAGCTGTTTAATCAGTATTGCTTTTTTTCCCCACATGCAAAGTGGGACAGTAGATGAGCAACAGAGCTATAATGCAGACCTTTGACCAAAGAATGCCCAACATGAATGTCGACACAGCGGGACTTTCAAACAGCACACACTCCCATCTGCCTGCTGGATTTATTATCAGCTATTTCTGATTAGACGAGAAGTAGCTTCCTAAATATTCCCCTTCCAGTCCCCCTGCTTTCATCTGCTGGAACATTTGTTCACACTTTCTATTATCTGAGGTTCAGTTTTTGTGTATTTATTCTGTGATTGGCCAATGTGCCATTTGAAAACCCCTTTTCAATCAGTTCAGCTCAAGCGGCACTCGGAAAGTCTGTTTCATAAATGTTCTGAGATAAACAAAGATTAACTTTATGATCATTTGTCAGAGCATTTTACAATTATTAGCTCGGCTCACTCAAGTTAGAATGATTTACTAAAGTCAGTGAAGCCAACAATGTCAGCAGGTGCAGCATATTGATTTGCATGTAATTTGGAAAATATGAAAGCTGAAGAGCTGTTGACCTTTGCATGAAAATGCTTTTTTCACTTGTTTTCTTTTTGCTAGATTTCAGTAACAAAAAACCTTTCACAGTTTCTTTTAAATCCCACAGACAAGCAGTCTTAAAAAGTCTTCATTTAACAAGAATTGATTAAAAATCAAATTCATATGGGTTTTGAAGGATTTTCCGTTTTGACAGAAAACACATTAAAATTAATTTTGTTATGTTTTATGTGACCAAAACACTAGGACAGTAGAATTTTAAAGGAAACTGGGACACGATTTTCAACATTTTCTCCAAACCCATTTTCTATGGTTCTATTAATAAGTTCTGGTAAAATTAATTTCCTTCAGAAGTCACAAACATTCATCTAGAGTTCATATAAGATAATGTTAGTACAAATACAGATGGTCTGTGAACGCCTCAGAGCCCTGAGTGAGCCTGAGCTGATTGGCAAAAGTTCTCCAAATGGGTTAAAATGACAGCGACGTGCCAGTTTAATACATCCTAAAGTAAAAGAAAATGAAAAAGTTCAGGCTGTCTGAACATTTTTAAGGTAGATTTGACAAACTGAGCCTTAAATAATATTCAAGAAGACATGGACATCATGATACTTTGGAATAATCAAGATTTTTCTCAGAAAAAGTAAGTTTCTGTAAAATTCTAACATGGTGGCAGAACTTTCTGTATTCCTCCTGCCTGGTGAACATTTCAGGACTCTATCTGTTCTTGGACCTGATGACCCAAAAAGTTGGGTATCAGTCTGTCTCTGCAAAGTTGGCCTAACAAAACTTCTTTTTTGCGTTTGTAGGATACACCTGGCATAGGTAACGAAATAAGGGACTGTTTTGTTTTTTTTGTCTTTCCAGCAAGGCTCGTTAGCAGCTCCCCGTCATTGAATGTGGCTGGTCATTGAATGTGGCTGGTCATTGAATGTGGCTGGTCATTGAATGTGGCTGGTCATTGAATGTGGCTGGTCAGCGCTCAGGTTTGAAAGTGGAAATACTCGCTGAAGTGTAACTATGGAAACCTTGACGGCAGCCGCAGAGCGCTGCTTATGAAATCTATTCTCCTGACAGGCTCTGCAAGCCTCGCAGGGCCAGGCTGCCTTGTGCAGAAATAAAATGATGAAGGCAGGTTTTTTTTTCTTTTCTTTTTTTTCTGTCTTATGTCTGCCTGGGTGGTGGACTTCAGCTGTCAAATCCAGGAACGCCTTTATTGGATTCCACTTCAACTAAAGTAAATAAGACATGAGAAAAGTGGTCTCCGGGCTGGACTGCTGACAGATTAACAACTGATGTTATAAATAACTAGAAACCGTCACTGAGTGTTTATTTGATGGAAACTTTCAAACAAAGAAAAATAACCATCTGACTGGCTCTTGAACGGTGGGATAACAGACTGATAACAATGAAATCCAAACACGGCATTTTTATTACAGTTCATATAAAATGAAATAAAACATTTGTTAAATTCAATGCAGATTTTATTTTTTTTTACAGTTCATCTCACTGAGCATCTTGATATCCTACAATATAAGCACATTTGACATTTTAAACTTTTCAGCTGAATGGTGTCCAAACCTTACTTAGGGTGGCTTCTGCTTCTGTACAGAGGTTGTCGTTTCATACCACTGCTTCATCAGCTGACATATTACTCCTATCTGTTATTTTTTTTATAACATTCTGGACATGAAACACTCACGTCAGATTCTACAAATCAATTAAACGATGAATAATAAAATAGGCTTTTTTTTCCCCAAATTGTATATAACATGTTTTATTCCCTGTTAAAAATTGCCTACATCTCTTGAAAACACAGTTTTAAATGAGTCAATAAAAAGTTTCAATGTTTGATCTGGTATCTATATCAGAGCCAACTTATAAATCACAGGATCAGATTCACGAATCTATGAGGGTCAAAAATCCATTAAGATATGTATATATAATTTTTCTCATTTACCATTTGTTTATCTGCTTTTTCCCTATTAGTAACTCAAAACAGAACTATCAATTAGATTAACAAAAAGACAAGTTTCATTTGGCCAATCAATGATAAGGACGTCACAATGATAAATATCTTTGTAACAAGAATTTAACAAACTAGACAGGGAAAGTCTAGTATGTCACAGAAATTCAGAATTTTATTGTTTAGGTAACTGAACGTTCAATTTTGTATAAATGTTGTTTCTATACTTATCCAGACATGGGGACTGGATAACTAAGGGGCGAAAGATTTTGGAAATAATAAAAATAAGAAACTTTCTATGGGAATAACAGAAAGTGGGTGCAATTTTATCCTGTTCTAATAGATTTGCTAAATATTGTCATGTCTATGTGACATACATAAATTAAAGATTAATATCAGTAAATGTCTACACTGGAGTTTAATCAAAACTTTCTTCACTTTAGGTGGGCCCAGGCTTGTTCAAAAATGTGACTCAGTAATCCAGGGTTGGACAAATCATCTGCAAAGTTATACTCAAACTTGTTCATTTAAATTTGTGCAAATTCCCAGAAATTCCCAGTGGCTCCTAAAGAAACTTTTCAACTTTCAGAATTTCTGAGATTTTGACTAAATTGCCTGTAAAGCAGCAAAAGAAACTCAGACTCAAGCATTAATTTGTGGTTTTGATGTAAAATAATAAGAAAATGACCAATAACAGTAGCAACTCATTCTGAAAGACACTGGTCTTGACCGTAAACAACGACTAAACCATTGAGGCACGACCATTGGTGAGAAACGTCCAAAGTTCAGTCATGCATTCATTTTGATCAGACGCTGCCTGTTCTCAGAACAAACAACCAAACCATCCAAACTGCTGCTCTCTTTCTAAAAAGACACATCCCTCCTCTGTGTCCCCCCCCCCTTTTTGCTCTAATTGTGTCTGATTCCTTTAGTGTTGTCCTATTTCTTTACAGAATCTCTTTGTGTGGCACCTTTTCTTGACTATGAACTGAAAAAAGAACAAAAAAAACAAATAAAGGTGGTCTGAATTGAAGAGCTAGATCCTCAAGTTTAACATAATCATTGTTGATGATCAAATGACTTCACAGGAAAGTCCCAAGATTCAATTAATTTCCTTGTGGAAGGAGTCAGAGTCAGTCAAGGCCCACCCTCTTGGCTGACACATTTTTCACAAGAGACGAATTGAAACAATAAAATCCTGCAGCACAATTAAAACCCTCGACCAAACCATACACCAGCTCAGCACCCCATGAGACTACTGTCAGAGTAGTTGGGGAAAAAAAGGGAGGGCGAAGCAGGAGGGATAACTGTTGGTTAAGTCTGTGAAATGTGCATTCGTAGTGAAATTCCCAGGGGCCTAATGTGACTGAGGCAGCTTTGAACTTTGCAGACATTCTCAGCGTGAGGCTGAGCCGACATTCAGCAGCGCAGCTGAGCTTTCTGGGCTCGCGTGACATAACAGTTCAGAGTAGCAGCAGAACTTGTGGAATACGGAAAGCAGCACCTACACCAGTGAAAAAGCAACAACACATTTTCTTCCCCTCACTCTTCCTAAGTAATAATGCAGCCACAGGTCAACTCACTTCAGAGTAAAGCATTTAAAGTTGCGCAGTTTGACACACAAATCATGTAGTTTTCATATTTGTTTCATTTTTTATAAAACAAAACAAAATAATCATTTCATTTGAACAAGGCACAGAAAATGAAAAGTCTCAACATGAGGATTTCAGATCATGTGCAATGCAGTGGTCAAACATGTTGGGTAGAAATTCTTAAATCAGCGCTTTTAATTCACTGTGGCCTCTCAAAAAGTCTGTGAAAGAGCTTTGGTGCACTGCTTCCAGCAAAGCTGAAGCCAAAGCCCACCTTCTCTTCATGTTTGAGGTGGAACACTACACGAGAAAAGCCATGAAGGAATCTGATACCTGTGGTTGGGTTTGGACATCTGACTTCACTGCATTGAAACGATATTCGCTGTCAGCCGTGTGACCCCTGGAAATACTGTTGGAGACAGTTTTGCAACACGGCCAGGATCTGCAGGAGAACACCAACCAGCTCGTTTGCTTACAGCTGACGAAGCAAGTCGTCAAACTGCAGGATCTGGACCAGTGGCTTGCTGTAAGAATTAAGCTTTACTACTTTGCTACATGCAGGACTCCAATAATATGATCCATTCTTAGAAGTGCAACTTGAGTAGTGCAGTTTCTACTGTGGAAATACTTCAAAATCCTTATTCGCTTTAGGTTTGTCAGAAGAGGTCAGAGGATTACATTTTCCTAATATTTGTGGCCTTGCCTTTGGACTGTATGGGTGAAATGTCTTGCATATCCTCCCATGAGCTATGAGACTAAAACAAACAAACAAAAGTGCCATTCTATAACATAATCAAGTAACTATGTTGTTATAAAAATCCCATAAATCAAATATGACTTAAAATAAATTTTACTTCCTAATTTAGTGCCTTGAAATTGGGCCTCTCTCTCTATAAAACCTCCTGCCCTTTCTGAAACTCCACCTTCAGGAAGTCATCACAACAGCACTCCTCTATTAATCCTTCACCCTTGTTTTCACCAGCACTGAGAAGTAGCTCATACAATGAGCTCAGCAAATGTGCACTTCCACCAGGTGTTTGCTAATTGCTGCTGGCTAGTCTGAAGGCGGTAAGTGGGGGAGTTGCAGGGGAGCGGTGCTCTGTGAGGCAGAAGCGTGAATGATAGGGAGACTGAAGGTTATACCATTTTGAACACAATGTGTGCATCACCATTTACAGAAAACAGCTTTGCTGTACCATAAGATCAATAGAACTATCTTGATAGTCAGAACCCATCAGACTGGTGCGTTCTCCCACCTCGGTACGTACCGTCATGTTCCAGTTGACCTGGGGAACCTTGATGTGGAGATTGAGGCAGAAGATCAGGAGAAGGACTCCTGTCACCACGAAGGCACTGCAGCTGACAAACTCAAATAAGTAGACGCCTCCACAGGGAGAACACATCATGATGGTTTCGATGCAAATAAAACTGATGAGTGACAGGACCTGCAGAGATTGGGAGAACAGAAAGTAAAGGACAAGGTTAAGTTTGAGGGGGAGTAAAAACATCCTGGTGGTGCAGTTTTGGATAATGTTTGTGGTGTTAAAACGCTATGGAAAATTTGCATAAAACTAATAATAATCTGTTTACCATGCATTTGATTAAAATCAATGCTGAACAAATGTTTGTAATAGAAAGACAAGACTCCATCAACCTTTAGCAAAGAGATTCTTTGTGGTTATGCTGGTCTAAAGCATGAAGGTCACTTTATGTTCAACATTTGATGGGACTGTGCTGGAATCCCAAACTTGCGAGTCCTATGAATAGACTAAAATGACCATAAGCTTTTTTTCATGAGAGCTGCTGCTGCTGGCAGCCTGGGACGACGCCTGACTGCAGCCAATTTCCATCAACAAACCACAAAATGGGAAAGAAATTCTGCTCTTTAGGAGTTTCTATGCCATCCAGAGCCCCAAAAGACACACAGATTACAGATTAGCTTTAACATACAGGAAAACCAAGAGACATAACAGGAAGATGCATATTTTGGACCTAAAACAGCAAAGCTAACATACACTGAAATCCTATTAAATCCAAGCGAGAACAGTTCATTTGGATTATCTTTACTTATTTATAAATCTGTCATATTTGGACAGTATTACATGTTTGATGTGTTTTACCAAGCACCGTATTTCCACTAGCAATGCCCACAGTTATTGAAGACGTATTTGTCAGCCGATACATGCATCTATGTGACAAATGCTTGGCAGGCTTTCCAGGGAAAAGCATTTCTGTCCTTCCATCAAACTGTGAACAGGTCCTTGTGTTATAAACATCTTAAAAAATAAGAAGGTTTCCTATAAAAATCCTGTTTTCTATTTTCTAGAAACAGAAAACAAAAAATAGGAAACCGATCATTGTTGGGTCTTCTAGCTTGATAATGATTGAAGAAAAAAACAAACAAACAAAAAAACAACAAGACAAAAACATGACCACAACAAGACAAGAATATTTCAGTCACAAAATCAAAGATTTTGTTCGAAGCCCACCTTTGCCTTCAGACCTTCACCTTGTGGGGTGAGCTGATGAAAAGAGAGAATGAGAGGAACACAGGCTGTCCAAAGAAAAATGAACAAAGAGTCCTCTCTTTATGCTACAGCCTTTTTACAGGAGAAAATAAATGCTCTCCTGCTGGCAAAGGGGACGATGGACAGGATTAACAGGAGGGATGCAGATGATTACCAGATTTTGATAAAAGAAAAACATCTATATTTTTCTCCCTCTGAATAAACGTAATTTGAGTTATAGGTTGATTTTGTGTGTGTATGTGTGAGATTCTGCTATGGCTGCAAATGATTCATTTAATCTGAGTTGTACATGTCAAGAAGGTGTGAAAGATTCCTCTTGTTATTTGCTGGGACAATCCAGCAGATTACTAATACAAGATATGCCAGTAAATGTTTCTCTTTGGAAGTGTATATAATACATTTTAGTAAATATTTGCCTTGGGAGAAATTTTAAAATATCCCATGACTAAGCCTGACATTTCTATTCAGACACAAATCAAGGGCAGAGACTCAAGCACAATCGATCAGTTCTGGTAGTTTTGATCCATAAGTTGGTGTTCCTGCTAGTTTACCGCCGTTTTAGATGTCTCCATGTTTAAATGTAAATGTGAAATATGTGACCTTAAAGTGATGTGTTGTATCATAAAAAAGCCTTCAGATTAATGAGTGATAATATAAATGATGATTTTATCGTTTAATGTATTGTACAACAGGAACTAATGAACCTTCAAACTACAGAAAAGATAGTATGTACAAATAAGATATTAGTACTGACAACCTGGCCGCAGTTTTAGGATAGACTGAGCATAATTAACATTCTGACTTGTGCTGTGCTGATGAGCAGCATATCTACAGGAAACCTCTTCCTGTTTGCCACAAAACAGGCACAACGGGGGAATTGCACAGATGGGAGATTAGGAATGTGGACAGCTTATCTTTTTCCACTTATGATAGGAATAAGAAAAATAAAAAAAAACTGAGATGGATGTGTGGGGGACACAGGACGCAAAAATAAAAATAATGATCTGGAACTAATTCAGTTCCATGATAGTTCTTGTTCCTCACACTTCTTACAAACTACGGTGGTTCTAACCGCAAGAAAAGCTACTTTTTATTAATGTAATAAATTTTAAAAGTTGACATGCAGTTCAATTTGTTGAAAACTGTGAAATAAACTGTGAAAAGCAATCAGAAATTCACACACCAGCCACTCCATTCGGGCCTAATTGACAAACTGTCTATGTGTCTATGTGAAGTGATCATGCTGCTCTCTGACACTACTGCATCCTGTGTAGTGAGCCACACAACCAATCTGAAAAACAGCCATTGACTGTCACCACCTGTTTATTTTCACCCAGGTTTAAAAAAAAGAGAGACTTGGATTATATACGGTTAAGGAAGAAAATGTTTCATCACTGTTATTTGGAACGGCTGTTGCAAATAAGATTTCAAAACTGAGTCTGTAGTTCATTGAATATCACACTTTCTAAAATATGACACAAACAAAATTGTCCTTTTTTCTAAAGCAACTGTACGTTAAACCAATAAAAAGAAAAGGAACAAAAAAAAAATAACATGCCCATTGGTGAAAAAAAGGGAAAAAACTTTCTCAGCCAACAATAGTGAGAACAAAGGGCTTCTTAAGCACATCTGTTAAGGCCTGAAGTTATGTGTGCAGTTGGATGGCAATCCGTCTGTGACTGCAGGATAAGTGCAGGCAAAGAAAAGTGGAGAGCTGCTTGAGCTGAGAGATGATGTCATGTCTCAAGAGGAAAGCATATTGCTTCCACAAGGTCTCTGTGTAGCAGGTGTCAGGCGATCGCAGGAGAGGTGGAGGGGGTGTACAAGGACCATGCTAAATTATATTATAATGATTTTCATATCGACCTTCACTATGCAGCTTCCTTTCATCATGTATAAATGCATGATTATCCACACCAGCTGCCTCCTTCTTGCCTCCTGTACTTGAAGGCATGTACTAATCTGCAGGATTAAACACACTAGTTGTGTATATAGGCGTATTGGATGCTGATCCCCTTGTTACGCACCATCTGTTATGAAGAGGTCTTACTCTGCAGGCTAAGCTACAGCCCATCAAGGCTGCACCTTGATGGGCTGGGACGATGTTCTTCAGCTGTTATTGAAGATGCAGAAGCTGGTAAATTCAGTGTGTTTCAGTAAATATTTACTGTTTTAATGGAATATATCAACTTCTCAAAATAAAATGTTCACCAAAAGATAGCTAGCGAGGTCTCTCTCATTGTCAATAGTTTCTTTACAGGCACGGAAAAGAACCACAATATGATATCAGAATTTGTGAAAATATGAACTCAATATTTTCAGTGGTGTCTGTGTTGCCATGAGGGTTCCAGCTCAGTGGGAGCTCGCTCAGGCTCTGAGGGGTTTCGGTTTCTTAACAGTGCGTGTAGGGACACGTGGCGAATATTGGCTTGTTGACCCAGTCACAGCACAAAGACAAAGACAAGCCTGCTGCCACGCTAGTCACACCCTGATCAGATTACATCAGTCAGCCCGGGTCAGGTTCTGTCCATGTATTCATTTAGGAGGACCAGAGAGGTCGAGGGATTGTTGAGCATCTTGGTGCTGATGCATTTCAGTTGCTCCAGACTAGCATGATGACATGTTGATTAGTTTAGCTGTTTGAGGATCAACCTAGATAACCAGTGCCATTAGTGCAGTGGCAGTTTTAGTATGAGTTCTGTGGCTCATCACCTTGAGTGGCTTGGCCAGAAGGCGCCACCAATGCTGCCAGTTGCTTCTTGAATTAGTTTTCTGTTGTTTATTTGCATGTGCAGTACGTGGAGAGAAATGATTGCTATCATTATCCTTTCACAGTCAAGTAGTCCAGACTTAGACATCCTTACAGGGTTTAAACCTGAACTGGATCAGTCTATATCAAACATAGACCCTTTTAAATATTCAAATTCTGGGAGGAATAGGAACTTGGGGGACAATTAAGGAACTTCCCCCGGGACCCACTGATGCAAGTACCACCACTGCTTTTATATATGGCATTATGTTAGGTTAAAACGGGGACTAGCTAATGCCATAATTAGGTATTGTTATCAATGTGCTGCTTATGCTATTCAATTGAGATGCTTTTACAACTGGAACATGAAGTTCCTAAAGTCTATTTACTGCAGACCTGCAGGCTGTGCTGTAGTTTCACAACCAGATATGCAAATACACACAAATTCTCTCTGGTTGGCTTCATAAAGCAGCATCTACATTAAATGCAGGTTTGGTCAATGAAACCTCAGTGAAAGGAAAATGCTAAATTATGAGTAAATCTTTCTGATTGCTCATAAAGCATTCCAAGATACTCTTTCATTTTCCTTGTTATGTTAGCAGAGTCACGTCCTGCATGAACGTAATTATGGCTGCTCACATTGTCTCCTTCTGGAGCCTCATGATTGTCTCTGTATGAAAAAATTTTCAGGAAATGTAAGAGTCTAGTCAATATGGACTAATACAACTAGATGTTCACTCGGGGTATTTAGCATTCAGTAAATATTGTATAAAACACCGAAACAGTAGTATGTATGTAGGTTTGAAAGATTTAGCAAGAGTACAGTGGTCACAATAGCAAAAATATCACTCAGGCAGGTTTTTCCACTGACTCAACATTAATTAATCTAACAAAGCACTATAAACAAGTGATAGCATGAGTTTTCTTATGTGTCTGTAGTCACTGTTACAACATTATTGCAAATTTTGCACAACAGAAAAATTACTCTTCTGGTGTTGTGTGCTATGAGGAAAAGGCTTCAATTTGCAAACACTGAAACTCCCTGTGCATTGATTGGATATTGATTGGATATTGATTTGATTCGTTTCAAAAACTGATTTGTTTATTTTATAATTCCTTGTGTAAAAAGTCTGAGTCTAATACACATTTACTTGAAACAAGTCATTAGGAAGTAGCCGCAGAAATGGGGAGAGGGCGAGGTTTTGCATCACACTCCTTTCTAAATGTAAAAGGTTAAAAACCAGACGAGTTTATGACTCATAATGCAGATGCACTATTTGTATTCTGCAGTGCCTTGTAAAGAAATACTTTGTATTTTGTTCTGTGGAGATGGTAATGACTTCCTCTTGTAACTATATAAAGTTTCCCTATTTACAAATGACACAGCCATTTCCTGCTCAAGGATCTCTTTCCAAAGCTCCGTCCTGCAGTTCATTACATGCAGCCAGTTCTGCATTGTTTGATATGAGCTCTAACATGGTCATCATGCAGCCTTGGACTGCTCCCAGAGAATTGAAACTACAGGCCAATGGTGCTATTAGCACTTGGCTAGAAGTCGGTAAAGCTCCTCGGAGATACTGAGTGTAATCTTGAAAGGCTTTCATTGGTCCTCTCTTTGTCAGTGGAGGACAAATATGACCACCTCAGCTGGAAAAATCATTATTGCAGTGGAACAAACCGCTGGCACAAACAAAAATAAAAATGTAGCAGGAGGAGATGCACGATAACTTTAAAAAGTATTCACGACCCCAGTATTTTATCACATCATGTCACATTACAAACTTAAATACATTTTACTTTTCTTGATCAATCAATAGTGGAAGAAAAGCAGTTTGTTATTTTCAATCATTTTGGGGGGGTGTTTACATAAAAAAGTGGGTTTCAACTTTGTATTCAGCTTCTTTTACTCTGATAACCCTGAATAAAACTTAATATCCAGTGAAACAGCCTATTTGCAGGACAAGTACCAATCCAGTCTGTCTTTTATGAAAGAATAGCAAGACTGTTGACTTGTTAAAAGAAGGCCAAAAGATTTCCCCTCCACAGTTTGCCAAAAGCTACATGAGGGCAAAGAAAACATATGACAGATTAATCTCCTGTGAATAAAAAAAGAACTTTTTGGCCTGCATGAAAAAACACAAAGTTGTGGAAACATCCTTACAACACCAAGAACTGCATGAAATATGATCATCATAATGCTGTGAGAACTGTGAAGCTGGGTACAGTTTAAGGGAAGACAAATAGGGCTAAATAAAAGGTGCAATCCAACAAGAAAACATGCTAAATGCCAGAAAGAGAAATACCATCACCATATAGCCAGGGCTTCCATGAAATGGTTTATAACAGAGTATATTTATACGTCAGAATTTTGTAGTCAAAGTCCAGTCATTAAGCCTGCTGAGAAGTTTTGGACATGTCATTTGACGGTTTCCGTCTGACTGCACTTCAGCTATTATGAAAGAAAGAACAGGCCAGAAACTCTTTCATTAGATGTGCAAAGATAGTCAGGACACCATGAGCTGTAGCTGCAGCAAAAGATGGTTAAATTAGAGGACTCTATATTGTTGCAATTCTCACACCATATTTGTAAAAACGTATTTTTATTTCTCTTCACAATAAACATTCTCTTGGCCTGTCCACAGAAAAATCCCAGCTTTTGTTTGTAATACGACAAAATGTAAAATATCCCCATAGGTATGAAAAGGTTTGAGCTGCAGGACATTATGTAAGTTTAACTGCATCTACCTAAAAGTATTTTGGGAATTATAGATACAGGTAAAGGTTTTCATGCTAGATCGTGCACCTTTACATCATTTTTATCGTAAAACCGACATTCTGCACTTTTGTGTCAACATTATCGAACTTTAAGCATCAATGAATATACTCCTAATCCTTATCTGATTTATAGATAAAAACAAAAACCTTCATAGAACATGCTGCTTTTATGTTCACAGACCAACGGAATGAGAGTTTTGACTTTTGATGCATTTAATGAACAGAAATAAAAGTCAGAATTTTAACTACAAAACCCACAAAATTGGCTTGTGGAGAATAATAGCCTACCAAATGCAGCAAATCTTTTCAATTGCATTAAAAATGCTGCGGCAGTTCAGGATGACTAATCACAGTGATGCGACTCTCAAAGTTAAATCCCTCGTTTGCCAAACCCAGACAAGGCATACAGTTTGTATCTTATAATAATGAAGGACTGGGCTTATACTGCTAAATAAGTATTATGGTTGCCTGTCAGTGCATGAGTTTATGTTGACATTATTTCTGGCATGCAAAAAAAAAAAAATTTTAAAAATTCACAGCTCTTCCTAAGTCATGCTTGCATTGCAAGAGAGGATGTTTGCTGCTCATATCCATGAACAGTTTTGGGCAATCCAAGCATGACCCTGTTTGTACTCATAAAAAAAACACTAATGCTGTTTGTCTGGTATTGCAGTCCATTACCACTTAAGCATTTCTAGCAAAACAAAATAAACTGATGTCTTGGGTTGCAGCAGAGTGAAAATCAGGTGGCATTTGAGCATGAATCTACTTAGCAAGCTCCAAACTTCTCCCACACTGATGACAGATGGCTTCCCATACTACCTTTCCCACATGCACAAAGGTAAACATTGCAGGTGTGTGCAACAGCTCAGACTTTCTGTAATCCCCTCTCACACTCTAACAAGCTGCCAGAGATTTTAAGCGTTTCGTTTTTTATTTGTATTTATTTATTTATTTATTTTACTGCAAGCTCTTAAAGTGAACAAAGGACGGCTGCACCAACCGTTTGGTTATTTGGGTCACTTGTTTTGTACGTAAACACTGACTGAGGTAATTACTACTCCATGTTTCCTGTTTTGGACACACAACACTTTGTGTGCGCAAGTGTGTGCTGTTTGGAATTGTCTGGCACCAGAAGAAGAGAAATTGTCAGGCCTTAATAGATATTTCCTCCACTGCTGAGTTTTATCAGATCTTTGGGAGAACTCATTATACTTTGCTGTTCCCTCTGATCACAGTTCAGACGTTTGGGTGCAGCATACTGGTCTACAAAAGTATTGGTTAACAGTGGAATGCAGTTCCCTGGTGCTGCAAAGTGACCTCTGCCTCTTCATGGGTTGGTGATCCTGATGTGGGTAACTACTTCTGCAAATTCTTCTGGCAATAAGCTTTGAGTGGATCGCACGTGTAAGATAAATAGTTCCTAAAAGAGGTGACAAGGAATCTTTCCATTCTTTCAATAACACTTAAAAAAATAAGTCCTATACAACTGGATGCTTCATCCAACTTCAATGCGCTCTTGTCGTGCGTCACAGTTTGATACATTCAGCTACACATCTGTGAGCCGCACAGCTCAAATGTTTGCTTGAACTCACCACTTCCACCGCCTTCAGAATCCCGAAGTAGGACATGAGGTACTCCATGTCGCACCTCATCGCCCCCAAAACGTTGCGCGAGAGGACGGGCTCCGTGGTGGGCTGGTACGGGCTGCTGGCCCCGGAGATCATGGACGTGTTGGAGGCCTCGCCGTCAAAGCCCTCGGTCTCCTCCGTGGTCCTCATTGTGGTATCGGGAGAGGCTGGACCCTGATAGCAGCAGAACTGTTTACTCACAGCATAAGAAAAGGGGGGGATGCGCGGCGGTGACAGCACGCCAGGCGTTTACGTTGCGGCGCAGGCTGTGAGGCGAAGAGCAGACTTTGTTTCATGCAGGCTCGAGGTGGACTGAGAGAACCAACCAGAAGGTCCGCTTATCATTGCCTCTTCCTGGGGTAGATGCTCTGGAACACGACGCGCAAGAAAAAGCAAGCTGCGGCGTTTCCTCCTTCTTGGCTGAGAGAGCCGCACTCATTCCTTGGGTCACTAGTTCGAGTCCCGGTGTTCGTGTGGTTTCGGGGTGCGAGGTTGGTTATTTTTCCGGTCACACCTAATGTGCCACCTATAAGCGAGAGAGAGAAAAAAATCCAATAAATTTGGCGCTGTAGGACGCGAGGAGATCCCGGTTGTCTTCCTAAATCAATTACGGAGGCGCGCAATGATTTGGTCGCCGCTTTGCTCGCTGTGGATGGAAAGCCAGCTTGTCCCCGCCCTCTGAAAATCTGCACATTCTTGAGTAGGCTCAGTGCCCGTTTTATTCCCAAACAGCCTGTAAAACCATTTCAGCCTGAAACACGTCGAAGGAGCCGAGCATAGCTGCAGACTATTGTCTAAACTATCAGTTTAATTCTGGAGTCTTTTGGCCCCAGTTCTTTGTCCTTTGAACTCTTTGCAGCTCCCAGTTTAATGACAATATCTGTGGGGCCTACTAAGCAAAGAGTGGATTTCATGTGATACTTGAAAACAACTACATTTTCCTCTGTACGAGTTGGTTTCCCTTTAATAAGTTAATGAAAGCGATTGTCTGCACGCCACACTTAAAGAATTTAAATAGTCTCAAGTTTCTTATTGAAGTTCAGTTTGCTGGCGCTTTTCTGCCATCTCCTGGTGAAAGCAGGTATTACAAACCTGAAACCAGAACGCCGATAATGTCCTTTAAAATACTATGTAAATGTGAAACATCATGTCAAACAAGAAATCAGTCTTTGCACATTTACTGTCCGGTTATTATCGACTTGTTTAAATTGTATACATAAATAAAAATAGGTCCATTGGGGCGGAGTTTTGTTTGCAAAAAGGAAAATAAGTATTTACTTGTCCCACTCCCAACCTGGAGAGGTCTGTAATTTTCATTCTTAAGTTAGACATTAAATCATATAATTTTGAGATAATTGAAATATAGATATATTTGACCTGCTGGTTTGTAGGTGATCAATTTATTTTGTGCAATGAAATGCACACTGGTTATTTACAAACAATTAGATTTTTGGGGGATTTTGTGCAATTTTTGGATGCTGTCTCACACAGTTGATGTGTACCTATGATGACAATTGCAGACCTCTCCGTGCTTAAGATATTTGAAAAATTATTTCCCCCACTATTTACGAACTGTAGTTAAAACATGATACAAAAATATTAAAACCGCATAGAAATGTGCTTAGATTTGACTGGATATGTACATTTAAATGATCTATTGTAGATGGATTTTCTTACAAAGCACTAGCTTTGTAAGAAAAATATAAACTAAAACACAAAAGTCAGACAGATACATAGGATTCTTGGTTTTATTGAAGCCAGGGGTTTGATAAACATTTTCCTTATCGTTGTCAGCATAAGAAGCTAGGATCCACATGGCAGCTTAGAGGCTACAGAATTGTGTTAAAGACAATGTACAATCAACCTTCTGAATTACTCCAGACACAAAAGAGCCGGCCATGTGCTTAAAAATGTCTCGATATCTTAAATATAAAAGGACTGGAAGCAGAAGCTCGTAGTCTCGCATAGATGTAGACAGTCAATAGTGGTTGAAGGCCATTCAGTTAGGATGTGACAAGGCAGCCGATTCCCGCTCACATCCGAGTACAAAAGTTAATTTCGGTATTTTATTCAAATCAATCGACCAAAGCGACATCCGATCTTCAACACAGAAGAAGCACGACACTGGAAAGACACTGGAGAGACACTGAACACGAGTGGCTTCATTTCAGCAAAGTGCCTAAATGAAGCTGATGTGGCTGTGTGTCGTCAAAACAAATCAGGGGGGCCGGTCAGGGCAGAGGCATTTTAAACTGAAAATTCAGAAAGGCAAAACCATTGAGAAAAAAAAAAAAACATGCTTAGTTTGACAGTAAACACAAAGGACAAATGTTGAGCAAAGATCCGAACAATTGATCAACTACCAGCAGACTTACAAGAAATGTCCTATAACTCCACATTATTCTTGCATAATACTAATAATGCTGCCCTTTTCAAATTCTGACAATTTCCTCACTCATTTTTCTGAAAGGGGAATTCACTCATATTTTTAGATATACCAAAAATGAGAGCTAAGAAACTTCTATAAATATCCAAGGAGAAGTGCTTATTAAACATGTCCGCTGCTTCTGGTTGATTACAAATTGTGCTTCATCCAGTCCAACTACGGAGAAGAAAATAACCTTAAAAGCTTCATCTTTAGCAAAGCAAATGCAAAGTAGATCATTCTGATCATTTTAGACGCTGCTAAAACAAGCCTGTTGACCAATGTAGATACATTTTTTTAAATGTCCGTTACACTTTTTGAAAATAGTAAATTCAGAGATAAACCCTGTGTGCCAAAAATTACTTTTTAAGTGGTTTACAAAATTTATCCCTAACCTACAGCAGCAAAATACTGTAGAACCCATTACTCCCCACCCCCCAAAAAATGATAGATGCAGTTGATCAGATGAAACTTTTTCTACCACTTTGTAGGGCATTAATAAAAGTTGAAAGGCAGGTCTGATGAGTGGAATGAAAGAGCTTCATGCAGGAGTAGCACAAAAAAAGGCCACTGGTTAATCTAATGGAAGACATACAAATGCAGAAAGTAAAGACTACTAAGCATCTTTGGTTACATGTTCCAGTTCCCATCGGTTCGTTCCTCCCTTCACCTCACTTGAATAGCAATCAGCTGCTGTCCCCAGACTACTTCTATAAAAGCCACTCCACACTAGATATTATCCATAGGATTAAGCAGGGCCTTGAATTACGAGGTTGCGCTAACAATTTTGTATTATGGTATCAAGCAACAACTTACAGACTTTATGATATGGTACAGTATACCTGCTGCAAGTTAAAACTTCAAAACAGTAATGACAGAAAACAATCAAGCAACCCCTTAAGGACACGCAAAGTTAGGATCTTTCCTTTGAAGGCAAGGGGGGCCTAGTGTAGCGAACTAGGTTGCACGTTGAAGGCAAAAGGTCGTCGTTTAAATGGGCACCAAAGCAACAAAAACAAAACAAAACAAAAACCCCCCAAGTGAACCACCAGGTTTCCTACAGGGATGCGTTTGTTTCTCCACAGACTTCACTTAGAAAACAGGAATGTTTTAAACCGACATGCAAAGTACAGCGTGAAGAAAATGTGAAACCAGAGGAGAACAAGTGCCGTCTAACACCGAACAATAAGATATCTTTTGTTTTATTCAAACCACAGCATAGAACTGAATGTGTTGGCTGAAATGAAGTGGTTTCAGCCAAAGTCGCTCTCACTGCTTTCCTTCTTGATATAAGCAGCCAGTGCACTTGAAGGCAATTACTCTGTTAAACGTTATTAAAGAGGCCACAACTTATTTCAGAAAAAATAAAAAAAGTCCAAAAGCTTACCAAAAAAAAAAAAAAACATGAAAAAATAAATTAATTGTGGGACAAAGCAAAAAAAACAAAAGCCCTAGAACCAGTGGTGCTACAGTGCATTTCCTCTAGTGTAGACAAGCACCTCAACTACGACACAAACGGCTAACTGTGCGAGGCACTTAGGAGTTATAGTAGGAAAGATGCTGCCCAACCCCTTCCCAAAATATACAAACCTTTACCTAAAAAAGCAACGCAGCTGCAACCTCTAAGCCCTTCAACAAAAATTCCATCCAGTCTCATTTAGTCAAAGGAGCTATTCTCAATATTTGGACAGAAATGCATTTTGTACAAAATTAAATTAACCTGAATATTGCTGTGATGCTTTTATAACTACAGAATCCTTCGAGATGAGCGAGGGCAAATGATATGCTATCAGCTGTGTGGACATGTCGTATTAGTGTCTTGATGTCAGTGACATTTTAACATGTTACAGATAAATGTTTCCTTAAACCAAGAAATGGTGCAGAAAATAAAATAAAAAGGAAGAACTTTGTATAAATACATCAGTATCATATCCAACATTTTTTTTTTACATATGTTTTGCAAGTTTTTCAATTACACTTCCTAACATCTCATGTTTAAATATCTTTCCAATCGCTACCAAAGATTCTTCCGTGAGATAAGCTGAACCAGGGGCCAGGAGGCCGAGTGTGTTTTCACTCTTCAAAGTCCGTGAGGACAGTGTTTTATCCCAGAGACGGAGGGGCCTGCAGCCCAGATCCTCAGACTGGCTGCCGGGGAGAGAGTTACACACATTTCCAAAAGCTAACATCCCTCACAAAATAGCATTTACAGTTGAAGAGAAGACAGAAATAAAGCCAAGCCTTTCGGCACTTCCTCATCTCACTAAGAGATCCGTCTGTGTTATCGCTCATCCCATCTCACCATCTGATCGCATTGGAAGCTCATTTGGTGAAACCGACAGTGTGTGCTGACTGATACAGGCGTTGGGAATTTGGTCATTTTTTTTTTCTTTTCTGTTTATGCTCACATGTACATGTATTTTTTTTTCCAGAGTATTAACGCGGTGGACGACGCAGCCGTTTTGTTGCCTTCACGCTTCGTTCTCTGTTGGCGGTATGTTGTTAGCTGAAACCACGGAGTCTTGCTTGCGAGTCATCCGGTCCAACTCGGCCTGGACGTCAGTCAAACCCGGCTTCTGCCCTTGAGAAAAAGGAAAGAGAGACAAAACCCAAAAGTAATCTCCTGTAGCGTCTGTGTTTTCATGAAAAACAAAAGCAAATTTCCTATCATCAGAAAGATGATTTAGAGTTTGAATGGGGATGCGGTACAATGATAGTGATTGGCAACTCATCAACACCCATGCAAAACTTATAAAAAACACAATATGTACTCATGCACTACTTCTTTTAGCTTGCTCTCAGATGTTAGCAGTGCTCAGAGCGAGAGCAAAACATACACAAGTGATCTGAGGCAGCAAGGAGTTATGCAGTGATTTTAGTCATATCGCAGTGTTTGACTCCATTATTTTAGAAAAATGGAAAAATAAAAACAATAAAATGGAAGAGGGCTGAAAATGCAGCAACTTAGTGAGTTCAACCGGCTAAAAAACAAAAGGTGGATTAGTTGAGCAGGACTTATTAGTTTCCATGCACAAACCAGATGTTTTCAATGGATACAGGCCTGTCCCTTCAGCAGTCAGAAGTCGAGTCAAAGTTGACACCTTTTCATTTGTCCTGATTTAACCATCTTACTCAGGCTGGAGGCATAAAACTTCAGACAGCAGAGCGACTCACAGCTTCAAAGAACAAGATTCCCTCATTCCGCTGTTACTGTACAGCGGAATGCTTTGTATCCCATAC